CATCAGGCTCTGCATTGATAGCTCAGAGCCTGGAGCCTGCTTTGGATTCTGTGTCTCCCTCTCTATCTGTCCCTCTTCTGCTTACACTCTGTCTCTCTCTTTGTCTCTCTCAAAATAAATAAACATAATAATTTTTAAAAATTAAAAAAAAGATTTTAAACTTTGAGATTTTCTACTTTGTTGATGTTTTTGTATGCAAATATAGTCAAAGTTTGATTTAATTCTGACTTTCGTAACATGCTTAGAAAGTCTTTTGTCTAGGGCGCCTGGCTGGCTCAGTCGAAAGAGCATATGACTCGATCTTGGGGTTGTGAGTTTGAGCACCACTTTGGACATAGAGGTTTTTTTTAATCTTTATTTTTGAGAGAGAGAGAGAAAGAGAGACAGAACATGAGCAGAGGAGGGGCAGAGAGAGGGAGACACAGAGTCCAAAGCAGGCACTGGACTTCGAGCTATCAGTGCAGAGACCGATGCTGGGCTCGAACTTATGAACCATGAGATCATAACCTGAGCCTAAGTTGGACAGTTAACCAACTGAGCCACCCAGGTTTCCTGAGATTACTTAAATAAGTAAGAAAAAATTTAAGAAAGTCTCAGGACGCCTGGCTGCCTAAATTTGGAAGAGTGTGCGAGTTTTGATCTGGGGTCATGAGTTTGAGCCCCACGTTGAGGGTAGCGATTACTTAAATAAATACACTTTAAAAAATAAATTATAGCTAAATAAAATAATTAACTTTAAAGTCTTTCCTTCAAAATTATAAAGATAATTACCTGTATTTTTCTTCATATGGCTTATAATTTAATTTGACTATTTTAGTCTATCTGATTTTTTTAATGTAAAGTAGGAGGAAGAAAGTAATTTTTTCCTTCTTTCCAGAGGTGAGCCAAATTTCTAAACACTCTTTTTGTTTTTAAGTTTATTTATTTATTTTAGGGATGCCTGGGTGGTTCAGTCGGTTAAGTGTCCGACTTCAGCTCAGGTCATGATCTCACGGTTCATGGGTTCAAGCCCCACTTCGGGCTCTGTGCTGACAGCCAGCTCAGAGCCTGGAGGCTGTCTTTGGATCCTGTGTCTCCCTCTCTCTCTGACCCTCCCCTGCTCATGCTCTCTATCTATCTCTCAAAAATAAATAAACTTAAAAAAATTTTTTTAAATGTTTTATTTATTTTTGAGAGAGAGAGAGCATGCACACTAGCAGGGAGGGGCAGAAACAAAGGGAGAGGTAATCCCAAGCAAGTTCTGTGCTGTCAGTGCAGAGCCCAACATGGGGCTGAATATCACCAACCTTGAGATCATGATCCACAAGAGTCAGAGGTATAACATCCTGAGCTACACTGGCACCCCTCTAAGCACTCTTTATGAGGTAATCTCCCTGCCCCATATGACATGCTTTTTTTATGCTTTATATATGTATATATACTCTTATACATTTATGTACTTAGGTCCTATATTTATTGTGTTATTTTTAAAAAAATGTTTTTAATGTTTTATTTATTTCTGAGAGAGAGAGAGAGTCAGCATGAGCAGGGGAGGGTCAAAGAGAGAGGGAGACATAGAATCTGGAACAGGTTCCAGGCTCCAAGCTGGCAGTCAGCACAGAGCCTGAACCGTGAGATTATGACCTGAGCCAAAGTCGTAGGCTTAACCGACTGAGCCACCCAGGCACCCCTTTTGTATGTTGTTTTAAAACTCTGTGAGATCCAGTTCATAAAGATGTTATTGATTTATTTGAGTTTTGCATTTTTATTTATGAGATTAATCCGTGAAGTTACTATGTCTACTTTCTCTGGTTTGGGCAATAAAATTTTGCAACCCTTGTAAAATGAATCAAGAAGCTTCTTCAGTTTTTCTATGTTAACTTAGTTATTTTTTAACAAATACCTGTATTTCCTTATATTTTTCCAGTCAAAGAAATATGGCTTTCCTCATATGATAATGAGTTCTATAGGGATTCTGTGAGGATTATAGCACTAATGTCTTTTGTGGGGCTTGATCTCATGAACTGTGAGCTCATGACCTGAGCTGAAATCAGATGCGCTTTTTTTTTAATTTTTTAATGTTTTATTTATTTCTGAGAGAGAGAGCATGAGCAGGGAAGGGTCAGAGAGAGAGGGAGATACAGAATCTGAAACAGGCTCCAGGCTCTGAGCTAGCTGTCAGCACAGAGCTCGATGAAGGGCTCAAACCCACAAACTACGAGATCATGACCTGAGCTGAAGTCGGACGCTTAACCGACTGAGCCACCCAGGCGTCCCTGAAGTCAGTTGCTTTAACAAACTGAGTCACCCAGGCACTCCAGCACTAATGTCTTTCTTAACCTGCTGGAGCTACAAGAAAGTGAGGGAAAGTTACCTTTTTTGCCATCAGGCACACTGTCTCAGACGAATGTTTTGATAACTAGGCCAGTAACAAACAGTAAGTTCTTTTGAAATATTGAAACTAGTCTCACAAAGAGTATGGGGGTTTTAAGAGCTGTGTGTTATTGGTTTTAGAAATTTTCTGAAAATGACACTTTGAATTTAAGAGTTGTTTGGTGGTAACAGTATTTTAGTTCTCAGACATCTCTTTCTCCTTACATGAGTGGTTCCTGTCAGATTTCAGAGTATCTTAACTTTTATTTCACAAAACAAAATATAGGTATTTTGTTTATAGACCATATTGTATATACATATATGTGTTTGTGTGTATATATGGATATATATTATATAGTTCTTGGGGGGAGAAAATCTATAAAAATCAAATTGGTTACTGTCAAAAGGTCAGACTTGAGGAATAGTTGCAGCTCATATCACGGAGTTTCCTCCCTTCTCTGCCCCAGATTGTTTTTCTCTCTCCATCTCAGATACCTGTATGTTCTCAGTTGTTCCTTATTAATCTTTAATAAGATTTTTAAACAGCATTTTTTCTTCCTGTTTTAAAGATATGAAACTCTGACTAATTTTTCTTGGCAGAGGACAGAACACCAGAAGAATCTTGTATAATAAAAAGACTTGGGGAATAAGATGATTCTGGTGTGGTCTTGGAGAGACCATTGAAGAACAGTTGGAACTTGGAAACTGCAATTTTAATCTACAGTGATGAAGGCAGGAGAGGATTAAGACTATTTATACGTGGATGTGAAATATTTGAATTATTAACCATTGCCTGAGACAGGATTCACTCCATTTGAAGAGTCTAATATGAATGAATGAGGGCTGGATCGTTTCTTGTAGGATGGATTCTTTTTGCTTGGGAAGACATCCTGGTCAGTCAGGCTTCCAGTCCTATAGACCATCATCACGTTCTAGCTCTGCAGACTTCTGGAACTTCCCCAAATGTGGGGGGGGGGGGGGAGGTCGCTGCCTGAGTTTTTTTCTAATTAGCTCAGCTCAGAATTAGAACTAGTATTTATACAACTGCTGTTTTTTTCAAGATTTCCTTTAAAAAAGTCATCTCTACCCCAAATGTGGGGCTCAAACTCATGACCCTGAGATCAAAAGTGGCATAACCAACTGGCCAGCCAGCTGCCGTCCTATACACCTGCTCTTTTAAGTAAGGGTGATCATTTGCTGCATATTTGAAAGAGCATAGCTTGTACTTGTGCTGGAAGACTTGAACAACCTGTTTAACAATACTAGGACTGGATTTTCTTTTTTTTTTTTTTTCTTTTTTTTTACTGAGTTGGGGGGAGACAGAGGATCCAAAGAGGGCTCTGCACTGACAGGAGAGAGCCCGATGCAGGGCTTGATTTCGTGAACCTTGATAGCCTGACTTGAGCTAAAGTCAGACACTTTACTGACTGAGCAACCCAATCGCTCCACTAAGACTGGATTTTCATATGCAGTTTTGCCAGATTTAATCTTTTTAGCTTACCGAACTGCACTGGACATCAGTGATGTCATTAGCTAAAAAGCCTTGAAAGAAGGAACCCATTTATGTGGTTTACCTTTAAATCTGTAAAGTGTCTTTACCTTTGTTTTATTTTAACAGCACCATTAACCCTGTAGGAACAGGATGTGCTAAATGAGATCAACAAAAGGGGTGTGGAATATGTAGATAAGTGCAGTGACTGCTGGTCATAGTTACATTTAGGCATATATTTCCTAAGATTTTGGCAATATTCAGATATACAGAATATTTCTCCATAGTAACTATAGTTTGGAAACTACTTGAGAAGCAACGGGGTCAGTAGAATGCATGAGAAAAGTGATCCTATCTGGAGAGTGACTTGAATCTGAGGGTGAGGTGCTGGGCAACAGTTTCAACTCATACTTACCTGGCAGGGGAGATACCATGATCATGAAGGTGGTTTCCCCAGGGCGAGGCTCACCCCTTGCACTCCAGATGTGCTGACCCCTGCAGTTTCCTCAAATGTGGGAAACTTGACTGCATAATTTGTGGTAGTGGGGGACTGTGTTTGTGCTTTCCCCTGGTTCTCTGTTTAAAGAAAGCATGTTATTCCTATCTTTACTAAGTTTTTAGGTTGGTAGTTTTCACTAGAGTTTAGGAGTAATGGTATTATCTGCCTATGATACAGTGTGTTTTGTTAGGGCTTTGGGGAGTTATTCTATCTTTGCCATCTATTTTTAATACAATAGCCTTATGGTCATATTAGGTACATGTGAGTAATTACAGATGATCTGACTGTTGCAAATCTTTTACTATACCAGTAAGATTAAGTATTATCATAAAGTAAGGAAATACTCTCCAGGTTTTAGTGGTTTGGAGGCCTGTTTGTTTTAATGAGCGATTATTTAGCATGTCAAATCAGTGGAACCAAGCTTAGAACAGTGTCACCAAAAGGGCCTTAGAATGTGTAAATGAGCAGTGTCTGCTGGTTTGATTACATTGTACATACACTTGGTAGCTTTGCAAGCATTATGGTGCCCTGGCTTTTAAATTTGGAGAAGTCTTTATTTCTTTCCTAAGTGACAATGCAGAGTTTGCGTGAAGAGTGAAGAGAAGGACCATGTGTCTAGTGCTTGGAATGAGGATGAGGTACCAAGAGTGGCATGTGCTTATACTTACCTGGTAGAGGAGAGATACTAGGATTGTGACAGTGATTTCCTTTCTCTGGGCACATCTTACCCATTGCACTCCCGGTGTGCTGATCTCTGTGATTATCTTAAATATGGAAAATTGGACTGCATGATTTGTGGTAGAAAAGGATTGTGTTCGTACTCTCCACTTGTATTTTACATTTTGAAAAGACGATTATGACTTATTACTGCTTGACTTTTAAGCCATCAATATTGTTTTCCATAGTCATTCTTTTTAAAAAAAAAATGTTAATGCTTAATTTTGAGAGAGAGAGAGAGAGAGATAAACACAGAGTGCGAGTAGGGGAGGGGCAGAGACAGAGGGAGTCACAGAGACACAGACCCCAGACTCTGAGCTGTCAGCACAGAGCCTAATGCAAGGCTCAAACTCCGGAACCGCAACTTCTTGAGCTGAGCTGAGGTCGGTTGCTTAACCGACTGAGCCACCCAGGTGCCCCTTTGTAGTCATTCTTTACAGAGTTTTGTGGGGTTTTTTTAATGTATATTCATTTTTGAAAGAGAGTGTGAGTGGGGGAGGGGCAAATAGAGAGGAGGACAAAGGATCCTAGGATTGAGCCATCCAGGCACCCCTATAATCATTTTGTATAAGGTGATGTGTGCAGCACAGCCCTTAATTGCTTGCGTGTCTGTTCACTTTGGTACCTAGTTGTCTAGCCAAATGGAGTGTACTCTTCTGTTGACCACTAGAGGGCTCACTTTGCACCACCTCAAGCTATCTGCATCAGTTTCTGCTCTGATTGTTCCCTAGGTGTGTACAGTAAAAGAATAGAAAAAAGAGATTTCTAAGAAAGTGTGAGAACCTAGAAATGCACCTAGGACAAGGAATAAAGGGTGTAAATAATGTAAGGGACTGTCTTCACTTTTTTTTAAATGTTTTTATTTATTTCTGAGAGAGCATGAACAGGGGAGGGTCAGAGAGAGAGGGAGATACAGAATCTGAAACAGGCTGCAGCTCTGAGCTGGCTGTCAGCACAGAGCCTGACGCGGGGCTCCAACCCATGAACCGTGAGATCATGACCTGAGTGGAAGTTGGACGCTTAACCGACTGAGCCACCCAGGTGCTCCTGTCTTCACTTTGTTGATTCAAAGTGTGATGTGATAACAGTGGCTGGCAGTCTCAGTCACTGGAGTGTGTAACTCTTGATCGCGGGGTTGTGAGTTTGAGCCCCACATTAGGTGTAAAGATTACTTAAAAAATAAAATCTTTTTAAAAAGTGCAAAGTGAAACATTACTTTGAGAAAAGTTGGGAGTTTATAATTTACCACTAATATACTTAACTGAGTAGTTAAAATTTCAGAGGGGCGGAAAACAGTGTGGAGGTTCCTCAGGAAACTAACAATAGAACTCCCTTATGACCCAGCAATAGCACTGCTAGGAATTTACCCAAGGGATACAGAAATGCTGAGGCATAGGAGCACATGTACCCCAATGTTCATAGCAGCACTCTCCACAATAGCTAAAACATGGAAAGAGCCTAAGTGTCCATCAACAGATGAATGGATCAAGAAGATGTGGTTTATCTATACCATGGAATACTACATGGCAATGAGAAACAATGAAATCTGGCCATGTGTAGCAACATGGATGGACCTTGAGGGTGTTATGCTGAGTGAAATAAGTCAGGCAGAGAAGGACAAATACCATATGTTTGCACGTATAGGAGGATTAGGAGGAACTTGACGGAGGACCAAGGGGGAGAAGAAGGGCGGAAATGGTGGGGGAAAGGGAGAGAGGCAAACCATGAGAGACTCTTGAATGCTGACAAAAACTGAGGACTGATGGATGTGGGGGGGAGGGGGAGATGGGCATGAAGGAGGGCACTTTGGGGATGAGCACTGAGTGTTATGTAGAAACTAATTTGACAATAAACTATTTGTAAAAAAAAAAAAAAAAAAAAATTTCAGAGGGGCTTTTCACTCCTTTTCAGGTATGTATGTCTCATGACCAGTATCCTTAGATTTTCCCCCAAATGAGAAACTGGACTACAGTATAATCTCTGCTAGTGACAGTGTTTTATGTTTTCTCCTAGACCTTGATTTTTACCCCCAAATAATTTTACTGAAGTAACATTATGCATATGAAAAGCATTATAGGGAGAAAGGTTGAGAAAGACTCAACCTGAATAGTAACACTCCCTTGATCCACCCTTTCACACCCTGCCGCCCCCCACCCCGTTCCTCCCCACTAGAGCATTACTTTTTTTTTTTTTTTAAGTAAGCTCAAAGTTCAACATGGGGCTTGAACTCAGGACCCCGAGATCAAGAGTCCCATGCTCTATGTACTGAGCCAGCTGACTCCCAGAATACTACTTTTAAAACTTGTTTAGCTGTTTTTTATGGTCAACTACAATAAATGTTTGTGCTAGTGTTTATATGAAGGATTTGGCTGATATTCCCCACTCTAGTACATTTCTTCCTCTATCCTGTTATTAAATTCCTTGAATAATCTTTACTTCTTTACTCAGTTCCCTTGGTAGCTTTAAGTCATATATCTTTATTATTTGTTAGGTCCTCACTAAGAAAGTTAAGGATATTAACAAGGCTCTGGGGTTTTAAAAGAAAATGTTAGAAGCACCTAGGTGGCTTAGTCGGTTAAGTGTTCCGACTTCGGCTCAGAGCATGATCTTGCAGTTCGTGGGTTCGAGCCCCATGTGGGGCTCTGTACTGACAGTTCGGAGTCTGGAGCCTGCTTCAGATTCTTTGTCTCCCTCTCTCTGCCCCTCCCTTGCTCATGCTCTGTCTCTCTCTGTCTCTCAAAAAATCAATAAATATTGAAAAAAAGTCATGATTTTTCCCCTTCCAATCATAAATAGAAGAAATTTATTAATAATTTTGTAGACTAAAATAATAATAATATCTTTGTAGACTAGAGTGATAAAAGCAGGAAGAAACCTGAGTGGTAGAAAAATGTGAAGTTTTTACCACTTGTAAATAGTATTGATTAGTATTGATATTGAAATTTCATTTCATTTTTATTATTTTGTTTATTGAGATATAATTGACATACAATATTATATTAGTTTCAAGTATACAGCGTAGTGATTAGACCTTTGTATACGTTGTGAAAAAGTCACTATAGCAAGTCTTGTTACTCTCTGTCACCTTACAAAGTTAATACAATACTTTTGACCAAATTCCCCATACTATACATTACATCCCCATGATTTCTTTATTTTATAAATGTAAGTTAGTACTTTTTAATCCCCTTCACCAATTACACACCCCGTCCCCCTTCCCCCTGACAACCAACCATCAATCTGTTCTTTCTATTGATGAGTCTAACAAACATTTTGTTTTTATAGATTTTACATATAAATGAAATCATGCGGGATTTGTCTTTCTTTCACTTAAAACTTTCATTTTTTAAGTGTTCATTGCTGGAGTTCACCTGGGTGGCTCAGTTAAGTGTCTGACTTCAACTCAGGTCATGATCTCACAGTTCGTGAGTTTGAGCCCCGCATCAGGCTCTGTGCCAACAACTCAGAGCCTGGAACCTGCTTCAGATTCTGTGTCTCTCTCTCTTTCTGCCCCTCCCCTGCCTGCACTCTGTCTCTCAAAAATAAATAAACATTTAAAAAATTGTTCTTAAGTGTTCATTGCTTGTACATAGAAATACAATAGATGTTTATGTATTAATCTTGTATCCTGTGACTTTGCTAAATTCAGTTATGAATTTTAGTAGGATTTTTGGGGGGTAAATGCTTTAGGATTTTCAACATAAACTGTCATGTCATATGTGAATAGAAACTGTTTTCCTTCTTTCTTTCCGAACTAAGGCTTTTAATTTATTTTCCTTGCCTTAACCTCTAGCTGGAATAAAAGTGGCTAAAGTAATTATGCTTGTTTTGTTCCTTATTTGGAAGAAAGATACTTTCACCATGAAGTGTATTAGCTATAGGATTTTCGTAGATACCATTTCTCAATAGTGATACTTTGCTAAGTTTCTTTTAAATCATAAATGGGTATTGAATTTTATTAACTACTTTTTGTGCAACTACTTTTTAGTCTGTTGGTATGATGAATTATATGGCTTAATTTTCTAATGTTAAACCGACTTTGCATTCCTGGGATAAACCCCACTTGATCATGATGTGTTATTACTAGCCCGACATGAGGCTTGAACCCACGAACCATGAGATCACGACCTGAGCTGAAGTCGGATGCTTAACCGACTAAGCCACCCAGGCGCCCCGATGACTTTCATATTTGTGTGTGGCTCCACTCCTTCTTGTCATCCACATCAACAAGATGTTGTCCTGCACTGAGGCTGACAGGTTCCAGACAGGTTTGTGGGATGCCTTCAGGGCAGGGCACAGTGGCCATGGTCCACATTGGCCAAATCATCATGTTCACCCACACCAAACTGCAGAACAAGGATCATGTGATTGAGGTCCTGTGCAGGGCTGAGTTCAAGTTCCCTGGCTGACAGAACATCTACATCTCCAAGAAGTAGTACGTTACCAAGTTTAATGTGGCTGAATTTGAACACATGGTGGCTGAAAGGCAGCTCATCCCTGGTGGCTGTGGGATCAGATACATCCCTAATTGTGTCCCTCTGGACAAATGGCAGGCCCTACACTCATGAGGGTTTCAGTGCTGCCCCTCCTTACTCATACCCACCAATAAAACCTACCTCTTGTCCAAAAAAATGGGGGGGGGGCGGCTAGGTAGGGAGATAGGAAATGTTTCCTTCTCTTCTGTTTTCTCAGATTAGTTTTGTGCAGAAGAGTGACATGATCAGATTTCGGCTTTAGCAGGTACTTGGCTGCTGTGTTGCTGTGGAAGTGGTGCAAGGATGGAAGAAGGGAGATCACTTAGAATGTTACTGCACTCTTCTAGGCAGGAGAGGAGAATGGCTTGTACCAAAGTGGTACCATTGGAGGTGGTGAGAAGGGGTCAGATTCTAAACATAATTTTTAAAAAAATTTTTAATGTTTGTTTATTTTTGAGAGAGAGAAAGCAGGAGGAGCAGCCAGAGAGGGAGATACAGAAACCAAAGAGGCTCCAGGCTCTGATCTGTGAGCGCAGAGCCCAACATGAGGCTCGAACTCATTAACCAGGAGATCATGACCTGAGTGGAAGTTGGACACTCAGCTGACTGAACCACTCAGGCACCCCGAACATATTTTT